ACACACACACACACACACACACACGCACACACGCACACATACACACACAGAGGAGCATTGCACAAGACACACACACACACACACACACACACGCACGCACACACGCACGCACACATACACACACAGAGGAGCATGTGCATACTTCTTGTTTTTTATTTTTTTGAGACAGGGTTTCTCTGTGTAGCCTTGGCTGCCCTGTAACTCACTTTGTACAACAGGCTGACCTTGAACTCACAGAGATCTGCCTTCCTCTGTCCCTGAGTGCTAGGATTAAAGCTGTACACCACCATGCCCAGCACATGTATACATTTTTGAGAGCACTTTCACTAGGTGCTGTAGGGAAGGAGGAATAGGAACTTGCTTACTGAGTACAGAATTTCTGTTTTGCAAGATGAAAAGCTCTGGAGGTTGGCTGCACAATTATTATCCTTAGTAATACTTATATTAGTTACTTTTCCCTATTTCTGTGACCAAATAGCTGTTAGAAGCAATGTCAGGAAGAGGCTCCTGGTTTAAGTGGTTCTCGTCCATCATGATGGGAATGGCTGAGTTCATGGCGGCAGGAGTGTGCAGCCACAGCTCCTCACACCTGGACAGACCAGGACGCAGAAGGGCGGGAAAGCTGAGGCTAGGTTGGTGTTTCTCCCTTTCTCTTTTTATTCAGCCCATGGGATGGCACTGCCTCCATTCAGAGTGGGTCATCCCTTTCATATACTCTAGAACACCCCTAAACAGAGATGCCCAGAAGTGTGTCTCCTAGGTGATTCCAAATCCAGTCAAACTGACAATGAAAACGAACTGTCACAATACTGAACCATCCATTTAAATGGTTAAGATGGTAAATGTCTTGTGTATATTTTACCACAATTTTTTTCCATGACTTTGCTCTACTGTATATATTTTGTCATATTCCCTTCTAAGAGTGTTTTATCTGGCTGTTCTCAACAACTATAAACAAGCCTGTCCTGCTTTTTCCATAGAAGATGACGGACTATCAAAAGTTGAGGTTGCAGCTCATTTGACCCAGGGGCTCCACTGTGTCGGGCCTGGGCCAGCCTGAGAAAGCCCCCTGAGTCTCGTATAAGCTACAGTGTGGAGAAGTTCCCAGATGCTGGCCCAAGAAGGCCCCACTCCCTCCTGTCCTCTGTGTTTAGAAGAGCTGACCAAACCCAGGAAAGAAAAGCCACCCTCCCTGCTGGAGCTGCCACTGCACAGATTCCGGCTAACCAAAGACAAGATGCACAGGGGCCAGGGACAGACAGCAGAGGCTGGGTGGGTGTGGAGGGGTACACTGAAGGCAGTGGGAGAAATAGGAAACCCCAAGGAGGCTATATATGGACCATGGAACTGAGAGAAGAGCTGGCTGTGGAAAGGGACTTTCCTCAGTGGGTGATCCTGCATGTGTGGTGACAGGGTACACACAGCCTGCGCTCCTACGAAGACTTGGAGAGTGGAGGGAGGGCCAGGTCAATGACTGGAGGAACAGGAGGGATTCTGCAAACCAAGGAGCCTGTGACAAGATGGTACTTAGAGCTGAATGCAAAAGGGTCACCTCTGTCACAAGCACAGGGAGCCCGTGGGTAGACATTAAAACTGTTCCTAGAAAGCCAGGCAGTGGAGGTGCATGCATTTAATCCCAGGACTCAGGTGGTAAAGGCAGGAGGGTCTCTGTGAGTTCCAGGTCAGCTAGGGCTCCACAGAGAAACCCTGTCTCAAAAAACAAACAAAACAAAAACAACAACAAAACTTGTTCCCAGAGACCAACTCTGGACTTCCAGAGGTCTGTGTTCAGTGACAGAAGGGACAGTGTTTCTGAGGAATGGAGCCCGTGTGTGTGTGTGTGTGTGTGTGTGTGTGTGTGTGTGTGTGTGTGTGTGTGTGTGTGTCTGTGTGTCTGTGTGTCTGTGTGTGTGTGTGTGTGTGTGAAGGGCTGGTCCATGCAGAGAAGCACAGGGCAGATAAAAAGATGAGGAATAACTTGCTCCTGGCTGTGAACTCGCCATGTCTATTGAGGGTGTTCACAGGCCATCAGTGGCCAGTTTCTATATGTCATAGGCCATGGGTGGCCCTGGAAAATAGAACAGCAGCTGAGCTCAGCCTTGAGAATACAGGCTAGGAAGCAGAAGTCTCTAAGTAGCAGTCCTTACCTAGGACACTCACAGGGGACAGTCAGAGGCATCACCCTGGGTTCCTTCCAAAAGGCTCCTCTGCTGGTCCTGTGAATTGTTGGGATAGAGACTTTGAGCCTCGTGGACCCCAGTGCCACTCTTAGGCTAGGAGCCCACTTTTCTGAAAGTATAAGGCTTATTTAGAATGTGTGCTGTCGTCATATCCCTTTCTCATAGAATTTGGTACATCTGCACACCATTCCTGCATTACCATAAATGACAACAAAGGCCACGTGGATGACCTCACTATCTCCAAGCACTTCTGCTCTAGAGATCTCTCCTCCACTTGGCCTTCTGGCCTGTGGCCACCCTGTTAATTGTCTTGTAAGTTAGGTAAATGTTTAGTGGTGGCCAGGCTGGAATTCCAGCTTCAGAAGATGCAGATAAGAGACCCCACAACAAGCTGGTTAGCAACATTAGTCATATTTTCAAGTTCTGGTGATGGGAGATGTCCTTCTGTATGCTGTGAATATATGATTCTCTTACTGGTTGAACTGGTGATGGGAGATGTCCTTCTGTATGCTGTGAATATATGATTCTCTTATTGGTTGAAGAATAAAGCTGTTTCAGCCAAGGCAGGATTTAGCCAGGCGGGAAATCCAAACAGGGA